CACGAGCGCACTGATCCTGGTCAAAAAGAAAGATGGGAGTTGGCGATTATGCATCGACTATAGGGCTTTGAATAAGATAACCATCCCTAACAAATTTCCCCTTCCAGTAATAGATGAACTCTTGGATGAATTAAATGGGGCTGGAATTTTCTCCAAATTAGACCTTAAATCGGGTTATAATCAGATTCAAATGAGGGTCGAAGATATAGAAAAGATTGCTTTCCGTACCCACGAGGGACATTATGAATATCTTGTAATGCCCTTTGGGTTGAGAAATGCCCCTTCTACCTTCCAAGCATTAATGAATGCGGTTTTTAAGCCCTATCTCAGGAAATTTGTTCTAGTTTTTTTTTTTATGACATTCTGGTGTATAGTGAGAGTGTGGAACAACATCTAGAGCATCTAAGGGTGGTTTTAGAAATACTGAAACTCAACTGCTTCTGTGCTAATTTAAAAAAATGCACATATGCAAAAAGAGAATTGGTGTATCTGGGTCATCTGGTTTCTCAAGAGGGAGTGAAGGCGGACCCACAGAAGTTGGCAACAGTGCAACGGTGGCCAATTCCCCACAATTTGAAGAGTTTGAGAGGTTTTTTGGGGCTGACAGGATATTATAGATGTTTTGTCAAGAAATATGGCCACATTGCTCAACCATTAACCCAGCTGCTAAAGAAGGATAAATTCATATGGAGTGATGAAGCTCAATCTGTGTTTGAAACGTTAAAGCAAGAGATGCTGAAGTTGCCCACATTGGCACTCCCAAATTTTGATGATATCTGTGGTAGAAACAGATGCTTCAGGCATGGGTATGGGGGTTGTTTTGATGCAAGGGGGCGTCCTATTGCTTTCCTCAACAAGGCTTTCTTTGAAACAGATAGGTCCCTGTCGGTCTATGAAAGGGAACTCAAGGCGATTGTTTTTGCGGTTACTAAATGGCGCCATTATTTATTGGGGCGCCATTTCTTGATTAGAACAGACCAACGGAGCCTAAAATATTTAACAGAACAAAGGTTGATGGTAGAAGGGAAGCAAAGATAGGTTGCGAAATTAATGGGATATGATTTCGAGATACAATACAAGCCGGGAGCAGAGAACGCTGCTGCTGATGCACTGTCATGGGTCATAGATTGCAAAGAGCTTACATTAGTCACTAGTCCAGATCTGCAAGGGCTATCTGAAGAGATAATGCAGTATCTGGCCACAAAGAAAATCATGATGGAGGTATTATTGGATGCCAACTCGCATCCAGGTTACCATGTGTCCAGGGGTTGCCTATGGTATAAAAATAGACTGGTACTCCCAAGAACTTCTCCTTAAATTCCTAACATATTGCAGGAATTTCACTCCTCTCCGTGGGGTGGGCATTCGGGTGAATTGAGAACGTTCAAAAGAGTGGCTGCAGTGTTTTTTTGGAAGGGAATGCGTAAAGATGTGGCTGAGTTGGTTCGAGCTTGTAACGTATGTCAGCAACAAAAATATAGTAACTTGAAGCCTGCTGGCCTTTTACAACCCTTATCTATTCCCCAACAAGTTTGGGAGGAGATTTCAATGGATTTCATTAGTGGACTACCAATTTCTCCATGTGTTGATACCATTTTGGTGGTAGTGGATAGACTTACAAAATATGCATATTTTATGACCCACAAGCATCCATATGATGCGCAAAAGGTGGCTGCTGTCTTCATGAGGGAAGTCATCAATTTGCACGGCATTCCCAATTCGATTTTGTCTGATCGAGATCATATTTTTCTTAGTAATTTTTAGGGGGAGTTAATCAAATTATCCAATACCAAGCTGAAGTTTAGCTCCGCTTATTACCCACAAACGGATGGTCAAACGGAGGTGGTTAATCATACACTAGAGACTTATCTGCGTTGCTTTGCTAATGGCCACCCTAGGAGTTGGACGAAGTGGCTTTCTTGGGCTGAATTCTGGTTCAATACGTCCTACAACCGGTTTATTCAAATGACTCCTTTTCGTGCTTTATACAGAAGATATACACCTATGATTATCTCATTTGAGTCAGGCAATAGTCAGGTGGCAGCTGTAGATGCTTGGCTGGTTGCTCACGACACTATTTTGGAGGAATTAAAATAGAAGTTGCAGCAAGCTCAACTCAGAATGAAGATACAAGCTGATAAGCAACGAAGAGAGGAAGAATTTTCTGTAGGGGATAAGGTTTTTTTGAAGATTCAGCCCTACAAATTAAATTCATTAGCAAGGAGGGTCAACCAAAAACTAAGCCCGCGTTTTTATGGGCCTTTTGCAATCACAGAACAAGTGGGACCAGTAGCTTATAGACTAGAGTTGCCTTCATATTCAAAAATACATTCGGTCTTCCATGTGTCACAATTGAAGAGGGCGATTCATCCTTCTGTATAGGTATTGGAATTACCTCATTGCCTAAATGAGTCCTTGGAACTACAAGTCCAGCCTGCAACCATTCTTCAATCCCGTCGGTTAATATATGGAGAGGTTGAGATCTTGGTACAATGGGTAGGATTGCCAGATTGTGAAAATTCGTGGGAAAACTTGACAAATTTTCAGAGTCAGTGGCCCTCTTTTCACCTTGAGGACAAGGTGAGTCTTGAAGGGGGTATTGATGGGCCTCTTCAGCCATATGATAGAGTGTACAAACGAAAGGCTCATAAGGGAAAGGCTGAAGGCAACACTGAGGGCAACACAAAGTTATTACAAGCTTAGACACGTGGCAAGCTGTGAATGGGATGGGAAAATTGGTGGTGAAGAGAGTGAAGGAGAGGATTCAGAATATAAGTTACTTAGTGGGGAATGAGGAGGGGATGGATGAGTCTGGAAAGGGTTTGGGGCACTGGGAAAAGAGTACCAGCTGCTGTATTCGGGGTCGTAGTGATTCTTCTCTCACTCGGATAGTTGATTGAGGGAGAAGGTGTCTCTTAATTTCCGTCTTTTTTTTTAATTACTGTCTTTTAACGTTTGTACTATCACAAGTTGTTTTCACGGTGGTGAGATAGCTTGAATTTCCATTAATAAAAGTGTGAATTCTGAGTCATTTATTTGCTGGTTACTGATTCAGTAGTCAGTGGAATTTGGTGATTTATGTAACTCCTTTCTGTTATTCATTTCTGGTGCCAATAGCTTTGCACGCGCTTGTGTATATATATTCAGCCATGTTGTTATAGTAGTTAAATTTTGACAGCCTTGACCCCAAAAAAGTAAAAATAAATAAAAAGCAGCTGATTTTACAGCCTCAGTTAAAGTAGCTGATGAAATCATCCGGACTCCAGAAGGCTTGTAATATGCCTTTTTATGAAATTTTTAATGGCACTGATATGTTTTGAATTTTTCTCAGCAGGATGCTCATCATTCTTTTATTGATGATTGTGAAATCATAGTTGATTACAACCGACAGCAGTTGATGCCTGGATGGATTCCTAGAAGGTTAGGTCAGTTAAAGTGACTCATTCTTTAAGTTGCATTTCTACCCACAGAGCCAGAGCCAACTGATTATTTTCTGTTCTCTTCTGCAGGTGGTGGTCTTAGTGGGAAGAAGGAATTATGACAACTTCGTTTTTGGGGAAGAGAAAAACCATTTCATGCACCACTGTATAGTTCAATCTTCTTATCTGCAAACTATATTTTTCCTTATTTCTCAACTATCCTATAACCTAGTTTTCAAAGACATGTGGCAACCGCTAGTGTGTCAAATTCAAATGAATATTGAAGCATCATGTTAATTGGTTGATTGTTAGAGTAAAATTATATTGACCTCAGTTGAGATTTGTCTAAATTATGTTTACCCTTCTTTTGTATCCCTTATTTGTATGGAAGGTTGTACAAGCGGGAGTATGTGTTTGCAAAAGTTTAAATGGGACCAATACCACCAATTGAGATAAGTCCTGGTTGTTGTTATTTTTTATTATTATTACTATTTTTCAATGGAAATTTAATCCACAGCAATTCAATGTAATTTTTGAAATATCAGAGTAGGTGAGTGTAATTTAGTCAAATCTCACGGTTCAGTATAATTTTTTCAATTATTTACTAATGTAAATAAGGGGATGAATCGGAACAATGGTAAAACAGTTTCTTTTTGTGAAGCTCTATATATAAATTATTTTTGTATTATAACAAGGGTTTTAAAATTAAATTGCTTTCTAATTTTTTTTAATCAAAATATGAAATGCAGGAGGATAAGTGACTTGAATGGAACTGATTCTACTTTTCCTAGAGTTGATAATATGAAACGACTGAAAACATTGTGAGTGAATTGTTTTAATTATTTTATTTTTATTTTATTTTTTCCCTTTGCATGTCAGTGCCTCAGGGACTGATTTAAGGAGCACAAAATCTAAATATAAAAATACTAATTATATATATATAGGGGACGGATCCGTTTACAAACTTTTTTTAAATTTTTTTATAAATTACACTATGTTCTCCCGGGAGAACATAATGTAACTAGTGTTCGCCCGGGAGAACATAGTGCAGTTTGTAAGAGTTTGTAAATAAAAAAGTTTGTAAATATAATCTGCCTCATATATATATATATATATATATATATATATATATATATATATATATATGCGAAATTCACATGTTTGATTGTTTAACAGGATATTAAGGAGTTGCAATATTAATGACTCACTTCCTCATTATCTTGCAAACTTGACACTTTTGCAAGTCCTGTAAATGGGGATTCATTCTTTTTCTGGATTAATTTTGATTATCTTATTTAAGTTCAGTTAAGATACTTGCAATTTGAAAAGCCTAAACCACCCAATCAGAAAACCTAAAGGGTTGATTAAAGAAGTGGTTTCATGAAAAACACACATTCATCAAATGCTGTTGTTTTGAGTTTTCTGCATGTTCTGCAGTGTCAGATTTAGTTGCATGGCTCCATCCACTTTATAAATGCTTCTTGTGGTCATTACATCTAAACAATAAATAATTTGATGTTTATTTTCTTTAACATTCTTTAACTTATTCTGGATAAAATTTCACTTTCAGAGACCTTAGCTACAACAAATTAAGTGGAGACTTTCCAAGAAATATTGAAGATTTAACAGGAGCAACCTACATGTAAGAATTTTTTTAACATTTTCCATATTAATTTTACTCAAAAGGGGAGTAGACATTTATTGGATGTTAAATAGCCTTAGTTAATTTACAAAACTCTGGCTGCTTACCCTGTAGAAGCCACTTTCTATTTATAAATAATCAAATTAATATTAGGCTTCAGATATTATACTCCATCCTACTTGTTTAATGTCTATAATATCTTTAATGGTTTCTTTACATAAAAATTTCAAGTTATGTCTTTGGTGTTAGCTGTTTAAATCCAATTGAATCCTTAAAGAGGAAACTCAACTCAGACGCATGTACAATTGTCTTTAGCTTAGTATAGCTTAACTAGACCAAAGCATGTTTGTGACTAGTGCATGATGAAACGGGGAAATTTTATGAATCAGGGATGCACCCTTTCTGAAGTATACATGGATAAGACTGTATCTATGTTAGGAGTAGCCTAACGGAGAGACAAGAACTGAAGAACAATCAAGAAATGTATTATTTTCATGTATCCCAATTCTACAAAAGAGTTCTATTTATACAGCAATATTCACTAACTCTCTAACTAACTCAACCAACTAACTAATTGACCCTTGACTGCTACATTACTCAAGCTACAAAGTCCTTGAGTATCACAGAATGTTGCCTCACTCTCTTAGATGCTCTACGTGTAACACTACCCTCCGCTTCAAGAACGACCTTGTCCTCAAGGTTCAAATTTGGATAACACCTACGCAACTCCTCTTCGAACTCCCAAGTTGAGTCATCGGGTAGTGCAGGTGTCCATTGGACCAAAAATTGGCGTTGAGGAACCCCTCTGTCGGATGTCATCCGAACTGACAGTATAGCCAATGGACTTTGGACTGGTTTGTTAGAAACAGTAACTGCAGGTAAAGGCAAGGGTTGAGCATCCAAGCTTCCTCGAAACGGTTTGAGCAAGGAAACATGAAAAGTTGGATGGATTTGGCAATTCGGTGGCAACTGTAATTGGTAAGAAACACTGCCCAGCTTCTTCTCAACAGGGTAAGGACCAAAATAACGTTTGGCCAACTTGTGACTAGCACGTCTTTCCACAGTTACTTGCCTATATGGCTGGAGCTTAACCCATACTAAGTCTCCCACTTCAAAAGAACGGTCCTTCCGATGCCTATCACTTTGTATCTTCATCCGGTTTCTAGCTTGCTGTAATTGAGCCTTTAAACGAGAAAGAACCTCATCTCTTTGCTCAAGAAGGAATTCTACTGCCTCTACCTTGGTTAATCCCCTAGGAAGGTGGGGTATCTGCACTGTTTCTTGCCAAAGACATCCTCAAATGGACTCATACCAATACTAGAATGTACACTCGTATTGTAATGAAACTGAGCCCAACCCAATTATTCAGTCCACTCTTGTGGTTTTTCATGACAGAATGAACGCATGTATTGCTCCAAGTAGCAATTGGTCACCTCGGTTTGACCATCCGATTATGGAAGGTATTCTGAACTAGTGTGCAATTTTGTCCCACTCAACTTGAACAACTGGGACCAGAATTGGCTGACAAAAATAGGATCCCTATCTGTCACTATGGAACGCGGGAATCCATGTGAATAAACTATTAATTCACAAACAGCCTGGCCACAACAGCAGCTGTGAAGGAACGAGGTAGAGAGCCAAAGTAGGCAAACTTGGAGAGTCTATCCACAATAACCACAATGGTTGTGTGACCCTTTGATGATGGCAGTCCCACAATGAAATCCATGGACAAGTCTTCAAAGATGCCTTCAGGAATGGATAAGGGCTGCAGCAAGCCACTTGGCTTAGAGGCTTCATATTTAACCTGTTGGCAAACAGTGCATTGCCTAACAAAGTCCTTCACATCTTGTCTCATCAAAATCCAATAAAATGTGGCAGAAAGTCGCAAGAAAGTCCTTAGCACACCTGCATCTCCTCCAACTGGTGTGGAATGAGCCTCCTATATTAACAAAGGAAGAATCTATTGTTATGAAACAAAACTTCATCCTTCACAGTCAAATGGTTATCTGTGTTAGGGTTGCTCTTCAATTTTTCATGGTATTGCAGCAAATAAGGATCCTCAACATTATGTTTCTTTATTTCTTGTAAAACATCAAAAACAGGTTCAGAGATAAGAGCATGCACCATGCCACTGTCATGCACTCTTGATAAGGCATCCGCTGCAACATTACTAATTCCAGCCTTGTATTCAATTGAAAAAGTGTAACCAAGCAACTTACACAAATATTTTTGCTGCACTGTAGTTTGAATGGTCTGATTGAGCAACTCCTTGAGGCTTTTATGGTCTGTCCGTATGACAAAAAAGGACCCAAGTAGGTACTGCCTCCATTTTTTACAGCAGATGTGATTGCATACAACTCCCTCACATACATTGAAGCTGCTGCCATTCTTGGAGAGAGCTTTTTGCTGAAAAAAGCCAAAGGTCGTTCACCTTGCAACAACACTGCCCCAACACCAAAATTTGAAGCGTTTGTCTCAATAACAAAAGGCAATGAGAAATCGGGCAAGTTGAGGACTGGAATCTGGATCATAGCATCCTTAAGCTGTTGGAAAGCTTGCGTAGCAGCACTGTCCAACGAAATTTGACAGAAGATTTGAGCAATTGAGTCAAAGGACTTGCTATCATAGCATAATTCTTGACAAAACGCCTATAGTAATCGGTCAAGCCAAGAAATCCCCTAAGTTGTTTCACATTTCAGGGTAGGGCCCATTCAACCATAGCTTGAACCTTCTTATCATTAGCATGAACTCCTTGATAGAAACCACATGACCCAGATAATCAATAGAGGTTACCCCAAAAGAGCATTTCGAAGCCTTCACAAAAAATCTATGCATCAGTAAGCACTCTAAAGCAATTCCCAAGTTCAGAACATGGTCCTCCATTGTTTACTAAAAACTAAGATGTCATCAAAGAAAACTATGATGAATTTGCGTAAATGGGGTTTTAACAAGTGGTTCGTCACGGCTTGGAAGGTTACTGGAGCGTTGGTCAAACCAAAGGGCATGACTAGGAACTCATAGTGTCCTTCATGAGTCCTAAACGCAATCTTGGGAATATCTTGTGGTAGAACTCGAATTTGATGGTACCCGACTCTCAAATCCAGTTTACTAAAGACCCTAGCTCCACCTAATTCATCAAGTAGCTCGTCAATCGAAGGTATGGGAAACCTATCCTTGATAGTGATGGCATTCAATGCTCTATAATCGATACACATGCGCCAAGTATTGTCCTATTTACGCACCAAAAGCACTGGTGAAGAGAAAGAACTCTGAGAATGTTGTATGAAACCAGCCGAGAGTAATTCTGTCACCTGCCTTTCGATCTCAGATTTTTGATGATGAGCATATCTAAAAGGTTTTACATTCACCTGTCCTGAATTGTCCTTCAAATGGATAGCATGATCTAGGCCCCTAAATGGAGGAAGCTCGTGAGGAACCTGAAATGTAGACTGGTACTGCACTAGAACTAGCCAAAGTGCTTTAGGAACCTTAGCTCTGAGAGTAATTAGTTCTGGTTCAATCGGTACTGCAGCACATTCGGATTCCAGGCTTAGTGCATAACAACTAGATATGTTGTCCTTGCACAGATTCATACCCGTTCCAGATATTGTAGATTCCAAATTCCCCTTCAATACAACCTGTTGTCCTTGCCACTGGAACTCCATGGACAGCTCCACATAATCGTGTGTGACCCTGCCTAATTGTTGCAGCCAAGGCATTCCCAAAATCACACTAAGATCAAATAAATCCAGCACCCAGAAGTCAATCAGAAAAATATCCTTGCAAATCAATTGGAACATTGAGACACCTCCTATCAGTCACCGAGAATTCACCATTACCCAAGAAAACGCGCAGTTTCCTAGCACGAGTTATGGGCAACTCTCACTCACTAGCTAACTACCTCTTGATGAAGTTATGAGTACTTCCTGAGTCAACCATTACCGACACCACACAATTCTTAATGATAGAGGAAAACATTAGGGAATTGGTACCTGACCTATCATCCAAAGTATGCAAGGCACCATCTTTTGTCTCCTGTGTAAAGCCATCAGCCTGCCAGAGTATTTCTTCTCCCTCTTCTGCATCCTCTGGGGAATCATTGAAATCTCCAACCATTAACAACAACTTATTCTTACACCTATGTTTTGATGTCCACTTCTCGTCACAGTAATAACAAATACCCAATTCCCTTTTTGTTATGCAAGTCAGCATGTGAGAATTTTTTCATGGCTGGTGGAGCAGGCAATGCTAACCTCAAATTTGGAGGACCAAGTGGAGGCACTTGAGTCGCTGAGGAATTGGTAATGGTAGGAATGGACTGATTGGTAGAAGATGGTACGGTACCCTTAGAATTTGAGACTGAGAATCTCGAAGGAAATCGTTTGTGGCTGGAGTAAAAAGTATTTCGGAGTTCCATGTGGTGGTCATCATAAGCTAAGGCATACTGCATTGCTTGATGCAAATTAGCAGGTAAACGGAGTTGCACTGCACTCTTGAGTTCTGTTTGCAATCCAGAAATAAAGAAACTCATATACAAATCATCATCCCACCCAGGTACTTGATTGATTAATACCTCAAACTGCTGAATATAGTCACGCAGTGTAGATGTTTGTGTTAATTTTGATAACACTCCCTTCAAGTTTGTATAGGTCGAAGCTCCAAATCTCTCACGAAGAGCCTTTGTCAGATCTTCCCACGAACGAATTAAGCCGTTACTATACATCCATTGATACCAAGCTGCTGCCATCCCATCCATACGCAACCCAGCTACCGGTACCTTGAAATCCTCTGGAACCTGTTGTTGAACAAAGAATAACTCTGTACGAAATATCCAATTATTTGGATCCGTTCCACTGAAAATTGGAATCTCCAACCTAATCGCCTCGGTTAGGTTTCGTGGATCCAATTCTCCACGATTGAAAGGATGAGGCGACGTTGTCTCCGTATGTTGAACATGTGGTGGAATCCGAGATTGAGATCACGCCGATAGCGGTCTTCCC